ACTATAATGCACAGCCACCTTCTATTTTTTTATTTCAAATTTAGCTTGAACTTGAATTTCAAATAGGAAGACTGTCTTTGACATTGGAAAATCTCAAGCAAACACACTGGAACAATGGATATTATAAAATGTGTTAGTTTAAGTAATCTTTCCAATCCATGCACAGAAGAGAATTCTCAGAGAGAATATGGAAGTATGTGTTGCAGCTTATATCACAGATCAGCTATTTTGTTAAATTTCCAGGAAAGTAACCCACAAGCTCAAAGTGACAGTGAGTCCTGGAGCATACACAATTTGGAAATGATATTACAGACTTGAGCAAGGGGAATTACAAGAGCAACTGAGCCAAGCAGGCAATTTCCAGTGCCAACAATGTGAGAGATAAAAAATAGAGATGGTTTGGAGTCATTATTTGATGAGTGCACTAAAGCAGGACATGTCTTTGTATTTGTCCTACAACACATTTGATTTATATGCAGGTAGGGAATAAATAACAAAAACAAAAAATAATGAAAAAGCTGAGGACAAGGATAGCTACAGTGCATAGTGAGCTTGATATATCTTATGATATAACCTACCTTATGTAGCCTTGATTACACAGAATCAGAGAATGGTTTGAGTTGGAAGGGACCTTTAAAGATCATCCAGTCCGACCCCCCCTGCCATGGGCAGGGACATTTTTCACTATATCAGGTTGCTCAACGCCCCATCCAACCTGACTTTTAATATTTTCAATGATGGGACATCCACAACCTCTCTGGGAAACCTGTTCCATGTCTCACCACCCTCATTGTAAAAAATCATTTCCTTATATCCAGTCTAAATCTACCCTCTTTCAGTTTAAAACCGCTGCCCCTTGTCCTATCACTACAGGCCCTGGTAAAAAGTCTGTCTCCATCTTTCTTGCGAGCCCCCTTTAAGTATTGAAAGGCTGCAATAAGGTCTCCCTGGAGCCTTCTCTTCTCCAGGCTGAATAACCCCAACTCTCTCAGCCTTTCTTCATAGGAGAGGTGTTCCATCCCTCTGATCGTTTTCGTGGCCCTCCTCTGGACCTGCTCTAACAGGTTATGTATTTAGAAACAACTCCCCCAAATTATTTTCGGCTGTTTAAAGTGATGTCATTAAAACCTCCTGGACATACTGGAAAATTAGCGTATGTTCAAAGCTGTCATACCATGCATCCTTATAATGTCATTAGAAAGTTTCACTGGCCTCACGGCCTTCCATTTGGCCCTACCATAATACATATTTTGTACTTCATTTTTTCTGATTCTCCAAAATTGGATTTTGATTTTGGAAGAAAAACCCAGTCAGAGAAGAAACTAGGTAAAAAAAGGAAAAGATGAAATATAAAAACAGGAGAAAAGTCAATTTGGGAAGAGAAGGGAGGGAAATGACCAGGTTGGCACTATTGGCAAGCTTTGTAAACTCACTATTCATCCCTTTTCCCCTTCTTTTTCTAAGCTACCCTGAATAAGGGTAGCAAAATAGAAATCTGACTTGCAAAAGTACATCATGATACTGCATGACTGGGCAGTAAGAGGACAGATGAAACTGAATATAAATTTATGCAGAATAATTCAAGTGCTGGAAAAAATATACTGACTACAGATACACACTGATGGGTTCTGAACTAGATATTACCATTCAGGAAAGAGTTCATAGAGTTATAATGGCCAATTTTATGAAAATGCCATCTCATTGTTCAGTCAGAGTCAAAAATAAAAACAGAATAATCCACAACACTAGAAAGGAAAAGAGAACAAATCATGAAATTTCATTATGCCAGAGGATAAATCTGTGGTGTTCTCAGATCATGTGCAGTTCTGGTCTCACCATTTTTAAAAGGATATAGAACAAAGAGGTACAAAAAGTGACATAGATGATCAAAGGCATTTAAGAACTTCTAAACAGTCTTCAGCTTGAAAAATATCTTAAAGGCAGATATGGGAAGAGCCTATACATTCTTAAGCAGAATGAAGAATGAAATTGTTCACTTGCCTCTTCCAGTATTAGGAAGTACCAAATGAAACTAGTAGGTGACGGGTTCAAAATAATCAAAGTTCTTACACCATCCCTATCACATTGTGGAACTCTGATGCAAGATTGTGTCGGCACTCAAAATTTGCACAGATCCAAAAGGCAATTAAAAAACTCAGAGAAGAAAAATCTATATATTAAATACAAAGAAATGCTGTGGCTCAAGAAGTCCTTGGACTGCCTACCAGAGAAAGCTGAGAAAATATGCACATCCAGTTATCACCAGCACTTAATCTCCTCCAGAGAGTTAGGCACCAACCTAGCCCTAGTAAAGCCTCAAATCCCTCCCTGGGAAGGGGGGAGGGGGCTTTGAGAAAAAGAAAAGTGAAAGAAAACAATTAATTACCAAAAAGAACAACGTGAAATGAAATGAAGTGGAGGGCTTTAGGTGTCAGAGGATAAAAAGTATAAAACTAGGTGACTAAGGGGCAGACAAAGCAGAGAACCTTGGCTGCTAGCCACAGTCAAAGACAATACTGGGCTAGAGAGACATATTATCTGAGCTTATATACACAGGCCTTCCTCTGTACCCACATACAGTTAGCCTAAAAAAGAGAGAACATATTTTAGGGTATGACTCAGCAAGCCAACGTGCCTCTATTAGCACAACACTTGAGCATGTGCTCAATATAACCATAAGGTCCATGGAAGTTAATGATGTTAATGTAGAATATACTTTGCATCAGACAGGCACAGAAATTTTATGTAGAACAGAAAGATAAAATCTGAACTTGCTGAAGGGCCTCTGGAAAAGATGAAATAGGCCAATAGACCAGAGCGGCACAGACCCAAGAGGGTATGACGGAACAGAAAGCTAAAAGGTAGGAATCAATGCTACACATAAAGATAACGGTGCAAAAGCCAGAGTAGGATATGTATCTAGTGCCCAAGAGGAAGCTGAGATCAAGGGAAGGTGTAACAAACAAATATGCTAGTGTTTATTCCAAGGCATGAACAAAGTTGTAGTCTAGTAATGGCAGAAGACATAGATTTGACACAGAACAAAACAACTAAGTGGGAAGGTGAGCCCCGTGCTATGGGATGAAGGAACAGACAGGGAAATTTGGTGGCAGCAGGTAAGAATGACAGTGCAGGTAGAAGTCCATGCCAGAGTCTGTCAATTACCTTCTCAAGAAACTAGTAAAACGTTAAGACAAGGAAGAAGGAGAAGTTTGGCTAGGCTATGGGAGTTGCAAAATCATGGCAGGTACTGGAAGCAGCTATCTAGAAAAATCAAAACTGCTGGAGACTAGTGCCTTTCACAACAAAACGGACAACCAGCAAAAACTTCTGAAATTTCTTCTTCTCAAAGATTTTTTTTTTTTCTCTTGCAAAAATATAACTCAAACCACAAAGATCACCTTTCCCCAAACCGCACACTACCATGAAATTGGAAGCATGCCTAAAAAGTCAGAAAATTAAGCCGTCTTTTGGAATAAAAATGATGAAAAGACCATCACAGAAGTGCCTTGGGAAATCTCCCTACCACACTGAGAGGATTTCAGCTTAAGGACTTCTTCAGAACACTGTAAAGCTGTGACCAGCAGGGAGGCAGATGGAGAACTAGGGAGACAAAAACTGTGCAGCAAGTAACGCGTGTAGCCCCCATCCTTGCTCGCTAGCAATATCCCAAAGCACTTTTCTTCCCACACTAGCAGAGAAATAAAATGGGTATTATTTAGAAGGGATAACCATATGGTTTGTATAATCTTTATATGCTATTTTCAGTACATTATTATAATACGTGGTAGAGACCTACAAAATAGGACTAAAATTTGCTTTCTGTTTTACAACCAACGTGTTCCATTTAGGTACAGAGACAGAGGTGAGGGCACTATAACAAAGTATGTTACTTCCACGTGCTGTCCCTACCTTAATACTCATAGAAAAATGCAATTGTTCCATGTGGGGCATATTATTGAGTTCCCAAGCTCAAATAAATATTTATCAGCCTTGCTGATAATTATTTGCTAGTAAATATTTGTTTAAATTGTGAAGTCCTGACTTTTTTCTATATTCCATTTCAGCCTACATGCATCTGTCTGCTTTGTGCCTTCCCAGTGTGGAATGCTGTAATATGTAGCAAAAAAGACAGGAAAAATGCAAAAAATATCAACTACCGGAAAGAAAATCAACCTCAACACTGAAATCCATTACCCTTAAACTGTGTCCTTTCTCCCTCCAACTCCTTTACTTCCTCTCACCCTTTTTTTGATAATGAAGTATCAGAATCCAGAATCCATTTTTATTCTAAATTAAGGTATCCACACTGCTGCAGGAACAATACCAATCAGGGTTTTTGTCTGGAGACAGTGTATGCTTTCCAATTTTCACTGTCATTTTTTTTAGCATCTACAAAGCATTGCAGAAGCACACGTAAATCACCACTCTCTTGCCCAGTGGAACAGAATTTCGGTTACCAATGCCAACAGTTGCCTACAGAAGGCATCTACATCTGGTCTGCTACATCCAAGACAGCAACCACAGGCACACGTTTTGCTTTGTTTGGAATTCATCACTGTGGTGCAGCTGAGCCTCAGATAAAAAAACTATGAGCCTCCGGGGTTAAACAGACAAATGTTTTCAGTCACAACAACTTTTTTTGCAGGGAAGCAAAGCCATAACAATGTATGTAAGAGGTTTTATGTAAATCATTAAAGGCCTACTGACTTAAATTGTTGCTAACACCAAGAAGTTGCTTAATGTACACTTGAGAGTGTGAAGGCAGAACAGATGAATAGTCTCACAAATCTTATTTGCTCAGTTGGAAAAATGCAAAAATATTTGTTAAAAAAAAAAAAAGAAAAAACTCTGATTCCTGCTCATTGCCATTCAAACTTAAAAGTCAAGTTAATATTCATCATTTCGGAGTGCATGATGGTTTTTACTGGGAGGCAGAAGGGGCAGATACAATCAGTAAACAAATTTACTTTCAAATCCACACAGAATTCAATACCTACCTAGCCACTCGTTGAATTTTTTTACTTCACTAGGAAGTCCCAGCTCAGTAAAATCACCAGCATGTATTAACACATCTCCATATGGCATTTGGATGGGATCAGTTCTTGAGTGAGTATCAGAAATACAGACAAATCGTGTATATCCTGGAGGTTTGGGAGCATCATGGGGCACCGGATCAACCCTGTAGGAAATGGATCATAACAAGGTTATAAAGTACTTCTGTACTTCTTAGTGTCTACTTTGCAATTCGAATACTGTTTTTTACCTTTACAAAAGATTACAGACTTCTAAATCTGTCTGACGGAAGGGATTTATTAAAACAAAACTAACACTAATGGGAGGTGTAAAAAATCTTGATGTTCACATCACAACATTTTCAGTATTTGTTGGGTAGATGGATTAATTTAAAGAGATTAAGGAAAAGAGACTGAACTATGGCAGTAACTCTGAAACAAATACTTACAAATAAATCAAAGGCATTGCCAGTTTCAAAGGAACAGCACTATGCCATTTCATTGTTTAAATATGATTACATGGTACACAGGGAAAAGATTTATTTTAGATACGTAAATACTTTTAAATGCATTTTTTCTAATTATAACTTTTTTCTGCAAGTTATATAATTCCAGCAAATTTAATTAACACATTTTGGAGATATGTTTCAGTGTGTTAATGCAAAGCAAGATAAGAACTCTCCTGACAACAGCTGTAAATGTATGTTCAAGCCTGACTATTGTCAGGACAAATGTGGCAACTTTCTGGGCTTAATTATACTAAATGAAATCAGATGCTGTGAGGGGTGGGGCTGCATTGTTCAGAGCCCAATCTTGATATTCAAAACTAAGGAAACGGAAAGATCTGACCCAGTTTGACGAGACTTACTTATGATTTAGAAGAGGAATGCAGAGAACACCTCTCTGCTATATGAGGAATACTTATTTTCAACTCAATCTTTTTATCCTCAATCCATATTTTGTTAGAATATATAGAAGCAAATGTATCTATATGCAGCTATACCATATCTGCTATTCCAGTTAGGGAATTCTGGTGGAATAAAATCAAAAAGCCAGAGATGCAAGAGTTATATTTATGTCACAAGAAACCAGGGAGATATACAGAATTGTTACAAATTATTTTACTTTTACAACATTTATCTTGAAAGGAAAAATAAAATTAGTTTTGTTCACTGTTGCAGTATGTAATACATATTCCTAACCCTTGCTGGTTGTGCTTCAGTTCAGGAGCTTACTTTTATATAAATAAACTCAGGAAAAAAGTTAGAGACCTTTGCTATTAATAATACTACCCCTGTTTAGTGGGTACATTTTCAGAAGGCATTTTATTGCTTGAAAGATATACAATAATAATCTTTGATCACGCACTCTTTTCTCTAAGTCAAAGAAGAATTCTATGAAATTTATAGGCGGGTAAACAGAGGTGTTTTTGACAACTTCACAAGATTAGTGAGAGTGTGAGGAACAAATCTAAAACATTCAAATCTTGTTAAATACAGAAAAAGTTCTTAGCATTTTCTGCAATATAACTACAAAACTAGAGTATAAAACAAATTATTTTGTACCCATCTTTCCTATACCTTTTTAGGAAGGAGAAATGTTGGATTTTTTACAGCAGTACTGGAGAAACAGCCTTTTAGTACAAGTACCTTGTGGTCGAAGTTCCAGACTTTGAGCAGAAAGTAACCAAACATGAAGTAAGAAGTAAAATCAGCTGTGACCCAGCAGTATGTACATGCTAGTGGGATATGTAAGCAAGCACATACTGGAAACTGTAACACTTGGCTGACAAAGGGTGGAATGTTTGGACCCTGAGAGAGAGCAGCTGCAAGCACTGCGTGTAGGGCTGAGGGAGTGTGTATGTTGTGGGAGGACCACAGGCACATGTAGAAGGGCAGATGAAAAAAAGAGTTAGATGCAGGGGGAGTTAGGCATAGGAGGTCACAACCTCAAACAGTGCAGCTGCATGACTGCCATCGCATGTTAAAAGTGTCTCTGTTTTGGGGGGAAAAGAGCTGCCATAGAGCAAGCTCCATGGGTGGTGAGTGGGAGGTAGCAGGGGTGCAAAGTAATATGGATGGTGGATTCTAGACTAGTGAGTGAGGCTCATCATAAGGTGCAAGCTGTGTGAAGGGTAATGCATTCAGTTCATGGAGTTCTTCCTCAAAATGAACTGGGGTGACTGGATAAAAATGAGGGTGAGCTGACCCTGGCTATCGTTGCAGCCGTTCAAGCTAAAAAGATTAAACACCAGTTCAGTAAACAAGTTTCTGATTATTGCTCTCCCTGCCCAGCACTTCCCAAAGTGAGTTACAGGTCATATTAGTAAGCCACCTTTAAATTACGCATACTACCCTGGCACAACATAAGTATATGGACTGGTTCAAAATACCACTTTTTGACTTTTCATGGTAGGGTAGCCTTTAAAGCAGGTGCTGCTTCTCCTTCAGAAATCTTTTAAAGCTCAGCGCAGCAGTAAGCTGGGTGTTGGCGAGTAGCATGCATTTCACATGTTGCTCCTCTGAAGCTGAATGGAAAAAACAACAGACTTACCACGGCAACCCATGCAGCACATAATACACATGCTTTTTCTTATAGTTTGGATAGGGACGGGAAAGATGTGGACAGCATTCTCCTGGTTGCTGAGGTATGTATAACTTTTAAATCCTGTGCAATGGGCCAGAGAATTTTCATGGGAAAAAGGCATCAAAACAAAAAAACAAATAAATGAGATGCAGATTTTCACATTGAAGTGATATGCACACACTGAGGCCGGATATAGGTAAAAACATATGTCAAGTTTCACAAACGCTCTAAGTTGTACTACTGGAAATAATTTCTGAAGGCTCGATCCCCATATTCTTGTATAACGCATTCCCACAGCAGCTGTCACACCAACACCCAATGCACTGCTTGCAGCGTGAGCAGAGGAATAAAGATCTGCTGATTATTTTTGTGCAAATGCTTTTGTTTTTCTTTAAAGCAGTATGAAAACTTGCGGAGAAATTGAAAAGCAAAGTTAAAAAATCTCAGAGCAAAAACACTGCCAGAGGTTCGTTTATACACGAGATTTCAGTGGTTTCACAAAGGAGCAAGACAGGAACTTCCCAGAAATGACTGATGGACTTGAAAACACTATCAGAATTTACCACCCTTCTTGTCAGTGGCAACCCAGCCATCTCACAAGCACA